TGGCTGTAACTGTATTTGTTCATGAGAACCACCACCCTGAGTGAGCCATCTTTAAACAGCCCTCCTACATTATGTACCTCATGAAACTATGGAGGCCTGTAGAGAGGCAGTGGTGAGGGACAGGAGCCACCATATTAATTTTCCTGGAGACACAAAGAGTAGATCATGACAACTTCAAAATCATAACATATGATCTCTCAAGTATTGGCGGCTTTATACACACTGGAATATATATTGGAAGATTTCAGAGAAATAATTATTTGACAATAAAGCTGTTGCTTTGCTGGACCAGACCAAAGTCCAGCACCGTGTTTCTACCAATGGCTACCTTGATGCCTTTGGCATGGAAGTTATAGCCAGTGTGGTGTAGTGGTTAAGAGCGGTGGACTCTAATCTGGAGAACCGGGTTTGATTCCCCACTCCTCCTCCACGTGAAGCCAACTGGGTGACCTTGGGTCAGTCACAGCTCTCTCAGAACTCTCTCAGCCCCACCTACCTCACAGGGTGTCTGCTGTGAGGAGAGGAAGGCTAGGCAATTGTAAGATGCTCTGTGACTCCTCTGGGTAGTGAAGGGTGGGTTATAAAAACCAACTCTTCTTCTGTCACATGCATACCCGGTCTAATATTCAGAAACAGACTTTTTTAATCTGAGTAAGAAGCCTATAGAGGAACATATATATCACCAGTTGTGTTGCTCCACCATAAGCTAACATCCTGATTGATGGGTCTTGACTGCATCACTGATAATTTCTAGTGAGGTAGGCAACTGTATTTCTCAAGGCCAGGAATGTGCAGTCCTAGGCAGAGTCACTCTAGGCTAAGACAACTGATGTCACTGAGTTTAGACCAGTATAACTCTGAGCAGGGTTGCACTATAAATCAATCATTTACCTGAGAGTATATTTTTTGTATATTTTATCAGTATTCCAGTCCTAGAAGTCCTTGCAACAAACTGATGACATAGGTGTTTCTCCCAGTCACCATGGTTTATATATATTCCTGTTGCTATGTATGTTACAGTAAAATGTTTAGCAAGAAACATATTTATTTAGTGCACTTATCCTGATCTTCCTCTGAGTTCAGGATGGCATACGTGGTTCTCCCTGTGTCCGTTTTATCCTCATAACAGCCCTATGACATAGATTAGGCTGAAAGCGAATGACTGACCCAAGGCCAGTAAGCTTCTTGGCAAACAGGATTTCCCCCCTTTTTTATTAAAAAGAGTAAAACAGCATAACAACAATTTCATACATGTCATAAAAACAGGATTTTGAACCCAGGTCCACCATAGTCAACTACTAGACCAAACTGGCACCCTAATCTACTAAATAATTCATCAGCTAAATGGGAAGCATATTCTGTGTTGTACAACCCAAACATTGCTGTCTTGGATTGGGTTTTTCATCTAGCGGAAATATATAATTCTAACTTGGGTAATCATTTTCTACTGCTGGGCAGTGGTGTCTGCCTAGACTTTCAGTCTGTTTTCCTGCTTGAACAATGAGCACTCTCTTTAAGTACATGAAGCTTCTCCCTACAGCCCAGTTTTCTTTAATGTGTGCTCACCACTTTCAGCATCATAGGATGAATTCCTACTGACATTTTCCCATACTACTACTAATTTATTTCCAAGTATAATTAAAAAACAAGTCATTCCCACCGTGTATGTGAAGTTCTTCTAGTGTATCTAACCATTCTTGTTTGAAAATGTTAATAAAATGACACTCCTGTTTTCAGGAAGAGTTAGCTCTTTCTTTTTCCAATATTCCCTTCTCTCTCTCTGACCTAAATCCAGATGAGAAGCTCTATCATCCAGCCAACACCAAACTCCTTTTTGACTAGTATTTATAATCCAACAGAAAGCAAGCTTTCCCCCTTCTTCTCATCAAGCTCTTCTGTAACCTTAATATGTTTCTCTTTTAAAGTCTTCTGTATACCCTGTTCAAATAGAAAAACTACTGTCAACCCCTAAAACAGCAGAACAGAACAGGGCCTCTCTGAAGGTCTAGGCCTGACATTCTTGCTCTGATGCCACTGAACTTCTGGTTATCCCAATGTTTTGGGATGGCTGCCAGCCCACTCAGATAAATATATTTGCATTGTAGTTTGTTCTCAGTTAGGCAACATTCAATATTGCAGCCAGCTGAGGCACACAAAAGGGGTGAATTTAGGAAGGGTGGGCTCAGAACCAAGACAGAACTCCTTACTTTGCTTGACATGTTATTGGGAATAAAGTGATGGAAATCATAGGATGTAGCTCTTTATGACATGCCCTTTAATGTCCATTTAGGAAGGTGAATGTGTACTTAAACATCCTTCAATCACTGACTGACATGGATACCATTCCCTGACTGGTGGGTGCCTCAGCTGGTTGGTCATAGAGGTGCTTGGTCTCTACCTCTTTCTGGCCCTGCTTCTGGCTGTGATGCTCCCAATCTTACTTCCTTGCACTGGGATGATTACATGTCACCAGGTCCCCACATCCCAAACTCTGGGACTCGAGGTACAGGGCCTAATGATGTCATATGCTCTTTTAGTGCCGCCCAGGGCTTTTTTTTGTAGAAGCCCAGCAGGAACTCATTAGCATATTAGGCCACACCCCTGACAGTGCAGCTCATTAGCATATTAGGCCACACCCCATTCATTTCCTTGGCTTGCCCAGGTGCCCTGCGGCTGCGGGGAGCCTGGGCAAGCTGGCCCTTGGACAGCCTGGGAAAGGCTGGTGCCCCCCTGGCCCGCCCACCTTGGAGTCATCAGGGGGTGGTCGCTCTCCAGGCCTTCCCTCTGTAGCCACACATGCAGAGGTTTTGGCTGTAGTGGGGGTGGCCAACTCTGAAGCCAGCCAGAACTCCATTCCTGTGCGTTCCTGCCCACTGCCGCCCATTTAACTCTGATTGAAGTCATTTCTGGCCTATGTAACTGTTTTAAGTTGGGCACCACTGGGTAAAGGGGACATGAGATGATGGTGTGTAAGTGAAAGTGTGGAAAGAGGTTTGCTGGATCCATCAGGTACCGTGAACTATTTCCCCACAGTGGCCAACCATACAGGGCTGCCCAATCGAGGTTGAGAAATCCCTGCAGATTTTAGGGTGGCGCCTGCGGAGGGTAGGGTTCAGGGAGGAACCTCGGCAGGGCCTAATTCCATAAAACAAACCCTCCAAAGCAGCCATTTTCTCTAGGGGAACTGATCCCTGTTATCTGGAGATCGGTTGTAATTCCAGGAGATCCCAGCCTCTACCTGGAGGTTGGCAGCTCTACAACCAGATGCCTCCCAAAAGAGCCACAAGGAGAACCCCAGAGGCCAAAGTCTCACCCTGCTGCTGCCCCCAACCAATTTAGAGGTATACTACCTTAGAATATGAAAGTCTCATTTTGCAATCACGTGTGAAGGGTGAGGAGACTAATGGCCTGTAGGGCCTCAAGAGCCTCCTATACACGACTGTTTAGAAATAAGTCCCACTGAACTCAGTAAAGCTTATTTCCATTCAGACATGCAGAGACTGAGTTCCATGGGCTTCCACAAGGGGCAGAACCACAACATAGTAGTCAAGTAAAGGATAACTTTAGTCAGAACATTTATAACACAAAGGATAAATTTACAAAACCCAAACATTTTAATGATTTGCAGATTTCTTTCCCCCCCAGCACGAAGATCTTATACAATAATCTTTTGGTAAGAAGGCAGGCCACAGGAACGTAACTCCAAAAGCTGTATCAGCAGATGCCCTCAAATTCTTATTGTCAGCTAGGGTTGCTATCTTTCCCCCCACTGCTGTGCTTTTAAAGGTAGCATAAGAAAATGAAGCAACTCAAGAATCTTTATGGCAGGCATAGGGGCAGGGCCAGACTTAAGCTTGCAACCCTTTGGAGTTCAAGGTAAATCCAACGGGACTCCACACCTGCCAGAGGTCTGTGGCAAGGAATAGCAGCCATATCTTTTTGCTTCACTGACAGGAATTCTGCCCACACTGAAGGTGTCCATGATGCATAGCAATCAACGTATGGAAGCGTTGTTGGTTTAAGAGTACACAGATCTCAATTTTTAGTATTTTAGGGAAGATATATTGAATCAGGCTGGTCTAATCAGACTGAATGAGTCCAGTGAGAATGCCTGCCTTCATGCTAACAATTCTGGAAGTATAGGCTTGCCATCTTTCCACTTGGCAACTAAAACACAGGTCATATAGGGTGGCCAGCCAAATGGCTGGCCTCCAGAGGGAGACTTGGTGGTGGGGACATTGCATTGGCAGCTAGATGCTCTAGGGATTCATAAGAAACACTGGTTTTACCATGAAGTTTCTAGTGAATCCTAGAGAATCTCACCAATAACGGGATGTCACTTCCAGGTTCACCCCAGAAATGACATCCCGCTATTACCACAGTGGTGATTTTCTGCTTATTTCCCCCCTCTACCCTACTAAGTAGCAGGATTGGGTGAGGGGTGCCACTGGGAGATCTTCCACCATAGCAGGAGATCTGGTGGGCCTACATTTGTAGCTTTTGGATGGGGAGGTCAGCATGCATGTTGTACATAAGACAGTTTTACCCTGGCTGTTTACACCATGCATTGCAGGTAAACAGCCCTGACCTGGAGAAAGGGAGATTGTCAGGAAAAGAGATGACTACTTCTGAGAGTAGTGTCTGAGAAACAGGAAGCAAAAGAATATGCAGGTCAGGACAATATGATCAGAATCGATCTCTAACTGGGTTCAGGCCCAGCAATCAGGATAATATATTAGACATCTTCCCCCAGTTTAAAACAGGTGATTAGGTTAGGTAAGGAAAGGCAGCATGGGTCTTTCTGAACAGTTTAGTTTCTCCTGGAAAAGCAATTCATTACAAAAAATAAATATGCTATAGACAAAACAGCTGCTGGGTTCATTGGAAAATGAGAACTTCCATTAGGAGTAGAAAGGCAGTCAGGGCAATGAGGAGCAGTTTGGCATGTAAAAGGCACCTAGACCTAAAAGGGTATTCTCTGCTTCATAAGAGGCAGCCAATGAAATCTCTGCACGCTTTAAACAGCTCCGTCTCCCTAAAACAAAAGAGAAAAAAAGCACAGTGATATGCATATGATGTGCGATGATTTTTAGACTATTACCGTTTTATTATATTTTTAATTATTTCTAGAGAAAAGCTGTCAGGTAACTTAAATATGTTGTCGAAGGCTATGTTGTCAGGTAAGTTAATGCCGGGCAGCACATAAAATCAACACATCTTAGCCAGCTTCCCAGTTTCTTCACTATTTAGTCTTTCAATGTTAGGAGAAATCACCCAGACTTTTCCACATGCTGCTGTGAGGGAGTGTTGGGCAGAAATCTTTCACATCATTTACTACCTGATCCTTTTAACTGGAAGCGGTGGGGATAGAACCTGGGACCTTCTGCATGCAAAGCATATGCCCTATCACTGAGCCATAGCCCGTCCTTTCCATCTTATTTTCCAAAGGGCACAGTATGAGCTATGGAAATGAGGGACAATTCACAAGTTACAAAGGCCATATGTCCCCTAGGTGGACTTTCTAGAGGCATATTCTGAGAGTTCCCAGCCTAGAACTTGGCAGGGCCAATCAGAGTGTGGACTGAGCCTAGGGGTCTAGCCAAGTGCCAGCAGGAGTTTAAGGGGATGGGGACATTCAGAGTTATGTCGCAGCTTCACTGCATTGCCACTTGCAGTACAAACCTGGAGGTGGCATCAGGGTGTTGCTGTGACGGTGTAAGATTCCACCAAACTCTATGGAACATCAATTTCCCCACCATTTTTCTTCTTCTGCTGCACTGGGCAGTCATGGGAAGCCAGGCCCAGGAGGTTTCCCACTGTAGCTGGAGAGCTGACCTCTCCACCTGGGGCTCACTCATCAGGGGACCTCAAATTCAGATACTTTTTGATACATTTGATATATTTTGCAACCAATGCTCCCCCTAAGCTGTGGAGTCTTGTGAGCAAAAACCCTACTTTGTGAGCTACTGGCATTAAAGTTGTGAGTGAGCGATTCGGCTACTGGATAAATTAGTTTGCTCTGGAGCCATCCTTCCTGAGCTAAGGCAAAAATGTGTGAACTCGAGGCTAAAAACCTGTGAGCTAGCTCACACTAACTCAGCTTGGAGGGAACACCATTTGCAACTTGTTTTTATGCACTTCATGCATTATCATTTTTGGCTGGAGACCTCAAAAGCTGGAAATAGCCCAGGACTCTCTGAACTTCTGAGAGGGCCTGGTCCCAGACATACGCAGGCCCAATAGCTAATGAGGAGCTGGGGTTTGAGCCTTCCCCCCCAGTGCTGTTTTCCTGAGCTGAAATGGCACAGGGGTAACAAGACTTGCCCTAATGGGAAAACATGTACTGGTGACTAACTATACATAAATTTCCACATAATGCCACATCTCTTTTCCATACTGGTCTACTAAACACTTGAGGCAGAGGAGCGAGATTTCTATCAAGAAAATGGTGTAACGGGAATGTAATGTATTCAGATGCTGCCATGAGTACATTAGGATGTGTGTGAAACATCCCATTGGAAAGCAATGTTAAGCTTCGTCTTGGACAGAGGATTCTAGTCCAAGACTACATGACCAATCACATTCAAGCAAGCTGCAAGCGGGAACGTTTCTGATTGGACCTTATGTAATCAACCTGATAGGTTGTTATCTGTAAAGTAGGAGTGGCTATATTAGCCGGGAATGTTTAAATACCGAGCAGTTTCAATGGGCAAACTGTTCGGGCTATCAGATGTTGTACCGTGTTGGAGAACTGATCGTGAAGAGAATAAACTTGAGTCTTTGGCTGAAATCACTCTCCGACTATTTGTTAAGCTCAGGACTTAACAGGGAAGGCATAATTTGCCCACCCAGCCCCAGTACCATGGCCTCAGTCCCAATTAGCCCCCCCCTCGTGACTGCTTTTTAAAAAAAGATCTGATGGATGATCCCTAATGTAGGCCACAGTTCAGAACATGGGCATGATGCAGTTATAAAGGCCTATCCCATATAGTCTCTGATAGTTTTACTACCAGGGAGAACTTCCCATTCCCCTTAGATCAGTTTCAATAACACACAGCCTTTGAATGGGCAATATGCAGATAACCTGCGTTTCCGTGACAACTAGGCCTTAGACAAACCCCTCTGCTTTTTCTGAGCCTGTCTAGAAGGTCAATATAAACCTCATAGAAACACTGGTTGTGCCTTGAAGGGTAGCACAGTATACTTATACATCATAAGCAAACTAGGTTTGCATTTTACTGTCCATTTTGGACTGAAAAATGGCTTGCATTTTCTGTTCGTTTTTTGGTATTCCAAGGCCACAATATGAAACCAGTCATCACAGTCAGAGGGCAGCAGGAGTACATCCGTGCGTTGTGATCACACAAGCGGCCTTACCCCACAGCAGTCCCCACAGAGTGTTCCAAGGAGCCCGTTGACAGCCTGAATGGCACATAGCACCATTTGAGCTCCACTCATTATTAGCAGCAAAGAGAAGAGAGTCAGATTCCAGGGCACGACAGACTCAGGTGACGTGCAATCATCCCAAAGAGAATAGTTCCCCAAATAATTCCTGTGCCGCAAAGAAAAATACAAAGGTTAATAAACCATCACACACACACACACACACACACACAATATACGACCAAGAGACAACCTCAGGCAGGGTTTTGCTAACAGAGTGTGCCTGATTCTCAAAGGTTCTATTGAATCCTGTGACAGAGGTCTTGGACACTGATGCGAAACCTGCTTCTCTCAGCAGATAACTGAAATTGCTAGGGGAGGAGACCACACTCCCTTCCTGTGCCCATCAACGGCCTTTGGCTAGTCAGATAATAGGCATCATTATCAGAACAGTAAAAAGATAAGGGCTTTGTGGCGCCAGAGCAGTTCAATGAACAACTTTATCCGCAGAACAAAATTTTGAGTCCAGTGGCACCTTTGATACGAACAAAGTTTGGTCTTGAATAAAACTTCGTTGGTCTTAAAGGTGCCCCTGGACTCCAGATTGTGTTCTGCTGCATCAGACCAACATGGCTACCCACCTGAATCTAACTTTAGCCACAGCTGGGGCCACATGCCAGTGGTTCAAACTTTGTTCCACATCTGGACTAACAGCACCTTTAGGGAGGGGGCCAGAATTGGTCCTTCGCACTGGGGAAGAAAGTTTAACCCTTCTCTTGCCTGTATTGTGCTCCCCCAAGCTCCTAAGTGCCACATAAGGGAAAATAAATATGGGGAAATCTCCTTTGTCAGTTCTCAGTATGGTACCAGTTAAGTCCTAAAGTGTAAAGTGAATAAGTTGCCACTCCCCTACACCCCACCCTTTCTCCCATGTCCTCAACAGCAGCATGATGCAAAGAAGGTAATGAGGTGGAGCTTTTCTGTCATGGAGATAAAAAGAAAGGAAAAACTCCACCTTATTAATTTCCTAGTTTCAGACTGCTATGAAAGATACAGGCTGATTTCGCACTAGAGCTGCCTCGATGTTGCGCCGCCGTTTGCCCCAATACTATTGGTCAATTTCACACCCGAAGCTGTGGGGCTGCATTTTGACTCGCGGCTTTGCCCGATTTCCCCCGCAGTTTCATGATCCTGTTTTTTGAGGATCATGAAACTGCGGAGGAAATCGGGCGAAGCCACGGGTCAAATGCAGCCCCACGGCTTCGGGAGTGAAATTGACCAATAGTATCGGGGCAAACAGCGGCGCAACATTGAGGCAGCTCTAGTGCGAAATCAGCCACAGTATCACAGTCGGCAAACAACTAGAAGAAAACCCTGTCTCAAAATGTAAACGGGCCATAAATCAATACCACCTATGTTGCTGGTTGTATTTGTAACATCTACTGATTATTTAGAGAGAGGCATGACTAAATGAACAAGAGCAGAGGTCATTTCGGGGGGGAACGCGGGGGAACGCAGTTCCCCTGGGTGAGGTGCAGGGGGGCGGGGCACATGACGAAGCCCCGCCCCCTGCTTCCGGCCGCCCCGCTTCCCGCCCTCATTCAGCCAGGAGAAGAGGGAGGGTTAAGTTGCTTCCTCCCCGCCTCTCCCCACCCCTGCCTGCCTGGGGCCAGGGAGGGCCTTGGCGGGGCTTCCTCGCACTCCCGCTGGCCTTGCAGGTCCACCGCCAGGCCCCTGATGTCAGGGGGTGTGGCATATGCTAATGAGTTATGCTAATGAGTTCCCCTAGCTCTTTTTCTACGAAATGACCCCTGAACAAGAGTATTAATTTAAAAAGTATTAATACAAAATTAATTAATACAAAAGTATTAACACATCATTAGTGGAGGCATTTTTTTCCTTATAATTTATTAAAACTGAGATAGACAGATGAAGAAGAAGTGAATGATCCCTGGCTAGTCCACCTAGAACTTGCATTCTTTATGTGGAATGAACCTTGTGGAATGAGCTGATGTTCAGATTATCAGATGTGACAGTGATCTATTAACTGCAACTGACTTCATTCTCAGAAACTAGCAGATACAAGGATGGATTTTCTGAAATTTTCTGCAGAACAGTTGGTGCTTGGTCCTAGATGGAGCATGTGTGCCTTTGATACGTTCTAATGGGTGGAAATGATCCAACAGTCCACCGTGTTTGGTAAACATCAAGCTTCAAAGTATAGCAACAATACCCTTCTTATAGCAACGTCACTTTCCTGTCTTCTACTATGTAGTTCAGGGAAAGAAAATAACCGACTTACCCATTTTTAAATGGATAGGTCCAATTTCCATTGTTTACAGAACATTTAGGGCCTCTGTCCAGAGCAACGGCTGACAAAACAAAGCTGTACCCAGCTCCCAAAACTCCCACTCCTGCAAATATTACAGAAGTAAACATCTGGTAGAAAGAGGAGAAATCGGGAAAAAACAGTCAAAGTCTACCCCAAACCATCCAGCAGGCAATTTGCAGCTTTTTCTATGGCTCACAAACAAAATACAACAGAGTGATGTGGTCATGAGATCCATTTCCAAATTTAGTGAACTTTCCTAACCTTGGGGGGGTTATGCTGATAGAAGCCAAGAGTGAGGTTCTCAGGCCTTCAGCCTCAAGGGATTCAGGCCAGTGGCCTATAGCCACCTCACTGAAGTTGGCCAATTCAACTCTGTCCTATAAAACTGGCTCAATGAGAAAGGATGGATGAGACCAGTGGTCCATCTAGTCCAACATTCTATTTCCTGCCGTAACCAGCCAGATGCCTGAGGAGGTGCACAGCATGGACACAGGGGCCAATACTTTCCCTTATTGCTGCTTTCCTCTCAGCTAACTGGCATTCAGAGGTCTACTACTTCAGAACATGGAAGTCCCATTTAGCCATCATAGCTAGCACTACTGATGGCCCTAGGCTTGCCATTCCCCCAGGGCGGCAGGGGTATCCCTGCTTTTAGGGCCCCTGATCCACCATCTGAATCTGGCCGGCAGGGGGAACCTTGCCCCCAAAGTGCCAGGATCGGGCCATCATGCCCGGCCACGATAATGTCACCCGGCAGTGATGTCATTGCAGTGTGTGTGCATAGTGTTGTTGTTGTTCAGTCGCACAGTCGAGTCCGACTCTTCGCAACCCCATGGACCAGATCACGCCAGGCCTTCCGGTCTTCCGCCGTCCTCTGAAGTTGGCTCAATTTCGTGTTCGTTGCATCTATGACACTGTCTAACCATCTCATCCTTTGCCGTCCCCGTCTTCTTTGACCTTCAATCTTTCCAAGCATCAGGGTCTTCTCCAGTGAGTGCACCCTTCTCATTTGGTGGCCAAAGTATTGGAGCTTCAACTTCAGGATCTGGCCTTCCAGGGAACAGTCAGGGTTGATTTCTTTTAGGATTGACTGATTTGATCTTCTTGCAGTCCAAGGTCCTCTCAAGAGTCTTCTCCAGCACCATAGTGCAAAAGAATCTATTCTTCGGCACTCGGCATAGCGTGCACACCAGAAAATCCTGGATGGGAAGCCTCGTCTTCCCCACCTGGTAACCCTAGATGGCCCTAATCTCCACAAATTTGCCTAATTCCATGTAAGCCATCTAAACTATTGGCCATCATAAGAAACAAGATTTTCCAAGAAGATCCACAATTATATTTTTGATAAAGACTTTTTTTGCTTGACACACTGACAAAATTAAAAATTACAGTACGCTATTTTCAAAAGGACAGCATCACTTGGATCTAGATTGTAACTCATCCCATTAGTAGGAGCAGACTCTTGATATTTAAAAAGCTTGACATTAAAAAAAAACCAACAACCCAGCCATGGAGGACTCTACCATGTCGCAAGCTGGGTCAATGGATCTGGGGGTGTGACAGCTTCCACGGTTGACACTGCCTTGCCCCCACCCTGCTACCCCCCCAGGGGCTTAAACACCTGATACTCCTTCCTTCCTCATTCCCCAGGTGTCTTTAAGCTCAGTGTGATAAGCAACGTATGTTCAATAGGCTTTCCTGAAATTCTAGTGAGAAACAAGAGTTCAGGAAGGCCTATTGGCTGCACTAGTCGTGTGCTCTATCTAAAGTTGTTTGGGGAACACAGAGGGAAGGACGGTTATTGGCTCCAGCTTCTGGTTCTGGGTGGTGGGGAAGGGAGGATGTGGGCAGCTGGGCTGGCTGGCTGATGTGGCACCCCTTGTGGAGCCACCTGAATTGCCAGGCCAGCCTGCAAATGATGGGGGTGGGTGTTCTTCAATCTGTAAAATGAATGGCCAGATTTATACATTTATTTTTCAGCAAGTACGGTCCCTCTCGCCTTCTGTTGTATCCAGAGCCACAAATGAAGACTTCCCAGTTTAGGAACTCTGCAATCAAACTCTAAATTTGCTGGGATAGCCACATGCAGGCACCTTAACCACTGGCGCTTGACTTCTGTTCCAGTAAGTGGGATTCTAACAGTGCAATCTTAAGAACACATTCCCATTGAATAAGACTTGAGTAGGATTCTGAGAAGACCAACTTAGAACTGTTGTCTCAGCCACTGAGATGAAAACTGTGATACTAGAGAACAAAGCAGTCTTCATTCAGTATACCTCTAGGTTATATCTTTTTCTTGGATTAATTTGTGAAAACAGAATCAAAAGTACTTAAAGGCTACTATTGTAAAGTCAGGTGAACTGGATTTGCTCAGAGCAGGGAGCCACATGCGAGAGCCAGTTTGGTGTAGTGGTTAAGTCTGCGGACTCTAATCTGGGAGAACCGGGTTTGATTCCCCACTCCTCCACTTGCACCTGCTGATGTGACCTTGGGTCAGTCACAAGCTCTGGCACAGCTGTCCTTGAAAAAGAGCCGTTTGTGTCAGAGTTCTCTCAGCCCCACCCACCTCACAGGGTGTCTGTTGTGGGGAGGGGAAGGGAAAAGAGTTTGTAAGCCGCTCTGAGACTCCAAGTGAAGGGCGGGGTATAAATCCAATCTCCTCCTCTTCTTCTTCTTCTTCTTTCACACATATTGTGTGGCTCCCAGCAGGGAGGCTGGGGAAGCTACATATCATTAGCAAACAAATATCACTGGACAAATAAATATCATTATCAATATCTGCTTTCACCCCTTTTGTTATTATTTTGGCAGTCTCATTTAATGTTAATAAAAAGCAAATTTGCATATTTTCCAATAAAAACGTGTGTGTAATATTTGTTCATGTCTTGCGGCTCTCAAACGTCTGATATTTATTATTTGTGGCTCTTATGTTAAGCAAGTTTGGCCACCCCTGGCTGAGAGGATACTGAAAATATCTCTAACCCCATACCCCACCTGAAATTATCTACAAACCGCACACTGGAAATTGCACTGTGTGACTAAGACTGAAAACCTATTTAACTTGTTTATTCCCAAGTAAATACCCATAGGATGGGGTTACATGGCTGATTCACCTAACTATAATGAGGTGGACATGAGATGAATTTTCCTATGGGTTTTAGCACACTGCATGAGTGTTATTAGTGTGGATAAGGTTATAGTTATAATAAATGTTGTTTTATAAAGTGACAGCTTTGCTCCCTTGTATTGGATTGTTTGTTGTATGTATGACAACATTGCTTTTTGCATTCCCTAATTTTGTAATCCAGTTGCTATGCATTGTTTGTATGCTGTTATTGTATCTAGTTTAATTTTGCAATCTGCCTTGAGTCTCAGTGAAAAATGTGGAATATAAATGAAGCAAGCAGTCAAATAAACATGAATGCAGATAACGATTTACCATCTTCTGCTTCAAGACATACTTTGAGAACCTCCATTTCTCCTTCTGCCACAATGACATGAACATTACATAAGCACAATGGTAACTATGTTTTGAAACAGCACAATGATTTTAGAAGGGTGTAATTCTGTTTAGAATTACCCTGCTGATAACACGTTAATCTTTGTACCTGGAACATATAGGAATACATTGATTAAGTGCCTGATAATACTGTCCTTATTGTAGGGCTACATGCAATATAGTTTTTCTGTATATCCTGTAGCCATGGACACTTGTCATTAAACAGACTTTGCTTCAAATAATTTCAGTTCTGTTCCCAGTTCCTTTCTTTATATCAGGGGTTCCCAACCTTTTTGATATGGAAACAACACAAGTCCACATTAACTTGGTATAGTGACCCATCCAGGGTTCACCTAAGGTTTTTGATGCCCTATTTAACTTTCACCTATTTAGTAGGTACAGTGCCCATTTTTAGGCACAACAAATCTGTAACTGATATTACAGTTACTGTGTTAGCAGTCAGACCCCTCATCCTACAGCAATAGGCTTGCCAAGTCCCCCCAGAGGCCCATTACCCGCCGCCGGCGGATCGGGCCCCGGGGGGAACCCCACCCCCAAAGCACGTGACGTGCCTGGCGTCAGCACATCAACCGAAAGTGACGCAGCTACGCCAGGTGCACCGGGCGCGGGACCGCAGTCATCTGAGTGAAAACTCCACGGACCTCTATCTTTGAGATTGGTAACTATTGCCTACCCAAAACTACTTTCCCCCATCCTCCCATATTTCCTCTTAGCTAGCTTGTGTATTTTTTTGTGTTTGTATGTGTGTGTTTTGCCCTTTTATTCCTATTTCAATAAAACCCTTTCCAGTTAAACATCCAACTGGTTTATTTCAAGAGTTCTCCAAGGGGACTTCCAGGTTGATGGCGGTGCGTTAGCAGACTAACCTCCCGGACCTCCCGGGGGTGAAGCTGCGCTCTGGCTGAAGGAGGGGGTGTGCAGGCTCGTCACCCCCCCAGGGACCCGGCTGAAGGGGCCCTGGCCAGGGGACTTTTGAGAGGTCGCCTCTTTGCCGGCGCAATGCCGGGGAATTGAGGCGCCTCTCCGTCCCGAAGGTTCTTTGTGACGCGAGGCCGAATGGACACAAGTGATGCCGACCGGGGCAAGCATAGGAGGTCAAGCGGCAGAAATGATCATTAAAAGAGGTCTGAGGACCAACTATGAACGCGAGTCTAATGTAAGCGGTGGTTAAAGAGATAAGAATGTTCCCTACCCCATTCTGTAAAACGGAAAGTGAGACAGGCGGGGGAGGGACGCCTCCCAACCTCATGAACTGTTGAGCGAATTGAGGGGGGGGAGCAGAAGAGAAAGCGTGCAAAACTGTTAAGAAATACTCACCAAGGCGAATCTGAGCATTGGGCGCTTATTCAGAGAACTTTAAAATACTTGTTAAAGTAAAGAATCGATAAAGATGGCGGGGAATAGGACGGAGAAAGAGAAACTTCTGAAATCGAAACTAATGGAGAGTCTTAAACCAGAAGGAACCAATGAGCTGGCAAAGACTTTGGCAGAATCTATGTGCCCCCTACTGGACCAGATTAATAACATCAAGGAGCAGATGTCAACAATGACCCAGTGTATCACCACACAGCAAACACAGATAAACGAGACTCTTAAAATGATGAATGAAACAGCTGTGAAGGTGAAAGAAGTGGACGCCACTGCACAAAAGGTGAAAAAGAAAGTAGCACCCCTGAAAGTGGGGGAGAATACCATCAGAACATTGAAAGATATTCCATTTGAGATAAGACAAAGGAGAAAGAAATATAAAGAATTAACTCTTTTTCTACAGACAAATGCAATCGGATATAGATTGGATATATGCCTTCTGGGCATAACCTTCAAAATCAAGGACAAAAAAGAAAAGATTGACTCTGTTAAGAAAGCACGGGAATTTTTAAGAGTCCAGTTGGGTGAGCCAGGGGAGGAAGGGAAAAAAGGGATGGACAGTAAGTCCGATGGAGAGCTGGACTCAGAATCCTCCGGAGAGGACTCTCTTTCAGAGAAAGGGGCGGCAGCCCCTAAAAGTCCTTATAAGCTCCGGAAGACATTAGGCAAGGAGAAGTAAAGGCTGAAGGACTCTGAATTGTGCCTTTATAAAATGTTGAAATGAGATGCTCTGGGGTATTTCTGTATGACAGTTAAACTTTAAACTTAAACGTGGGAAAGTTAATGATATTTGAATCAGTTGATAGCAAGATTAATGACATTAAGACTAAATGTTTGTTTAAGCTGGTGAGGGGACCTCCTCTCTTGGGTTTTTAGTTAGTAGTGGGTATCTTTCTTTATCCCCAAATTGTAGTCCCCTTTCCTATTTTCTGTTGTAGTTTGTAGTGTTAATAATAATGCAATAAAAAATCCCCTCCAGGGGCATAAAAAAAGAGAGTTCTCCAAGAGAGCAATCCCCATAAATATAGATGGAGAATCCCAGCTACCCCCTCTTGCTTATCTCCTTTAAAGCTAATTCCCTGATTGATCTATAAGTACAAAATCTCAAACTGTAATTAAAAATCTATCAATTGGCTTTGTTTTATAATCCCCTCCAGGGGCATAAAAAAAGAGAGTTCTCCAAGAGAGCAATCCCCATAAATATAGATGGAGAATCCCAGCTACCCCCTCTTGCTTATCTCCTTTAAAGCTAATTCCCTGATTGATCTATAAGTACAAAATCTCAAACTGTAATTAAAAATCTATCAATTGGCTTTGTTTTATTGCTAAATTACTATTATATGTGGAGTTAAAAATAAAAGTTTGGGAGCTGAAAAGTATTAGACATTGTGTAATACCTGGATAAGGCTCAAAGAATACATGAACATACAGGAATGTAAGAACACGCACACTTGGAAATTAAAATTTCTGTAATTCCAAATTAGACTCTTGATGATGGAAGCAAATTATTCACCATTTGCTCATGACTTTGCTATGCTAATGCAGGGCCCAAACAAAGGGGGAAATTGGGCACAACTGAACTAGAGCCCTACAGTTGATGGCTAAAAACAGACACAAACAATTCATTATTCTGATAAGAAGAAAAGCAACTAAAAAGCTAACAAGGTTTCTCTATGCCATATCAGAAATAACATACAGAAATGTTGTGCATTAATAAGTATTTATTGGCATGAAGAAAGCTAAGATGCAGCCTAAATATCAAAGTTATTTTGGGTTTTGTGAAAAACTGGGTAGCAATGAAATGCATACATCTGTCCCCCAAGGACATTTCTGGGACTTACCGCAAACCTCTTCCCACAGCTTTCATTCCCACAGCATCCACAGCAATCATTGTTCTTAAGCCCAAAAAAGACCAAGATAGGAAACACCATCTGAGGGCAACAACACATATACTCTGATGAGACCAGATCATTCCTGATGCAGCTGCATTTAATCTGGTTTGACTCAATGGGTCTGCTCTGGAGTAAGCAACTGGATCACTGACAATGCAGTCCTACATATATTTATTTGGCAGTTAGCAAGGTACGGCATTTCTAGATTTTAAAAGGTAGTTTCTGTCTACAAATGACCTAGTATACAAAAGAGGTAAGCTTGACCAATGCTATCTTCTACTGGAGCACCAATGTGTTCACATCAAATTTCTGGTGAGCTTCCAGGGGTAACCGCTTGACTGCCTCGGGAAACAGAATACTGGGCTAAAAGGGCATTGGTCTGGTTTAGTAAGGCAATTTTTATATTCTTAATTTAGGGTTGCCAACTCTGGTTTGGGAATCTCCTGGAGATTTGGGGGCAGGACTCAAGGAGGGATTTCTCCTAGAAATTGAATACCATACAGTCTGCCTTCTGAAGCTACAATGTTTTTCCAGGGGAACTGATCTGTTTTCTGGAAATCAGTGGTAATTCCTGGAGAACTCCAAATACCACCTAGAGACTATCACCCCTAATTCTTATCCATCAAAGGCAATCCAGCAGCAGCTTCAATCCTGAACACACTTACTACGCAGAAGACCCACTGAAAACAGCTGAACATGTTTCAGAGTAAATATGCAGAGGATCACACTGTAATATATGTTTTAGAATATATTAGGCAAGTTAATAAGAGATTAAATGAGTTTTTCCAGTTATGTTATTTTTGAATTTTCAGTTTACTAATTGAACAAATTGGCAATCTGCATTTCTGACATAAACTGTACCAAGGCTAGATTTCTGCAAACTCCAACATTTTTTTGTTCAAAATATCAATAAAAATGAGAACATTATATGAACTTACTCACCAGTATACCCGAACCCAAGATCCCTCCAAAGTACCAGACTTCATCAGAAATATGATCACTGGGTTCAACATTTCCTCCAGGGAAAAACAGCAAAATATTGGCAAGGGCACACAGCAGAGTCAGAGGAATGAGAGTAATTCCAAGGCACTTTGCGCACCCTCCACAACACATTTTCCCAAAACAATATTGTAAACTCCGCTAAGAAAAAAAATTGGAAAACTTTCCCCCAGAATCCTTTTAGTGTCTTAATCAAGAGCTTCTTGTTATATTTTACCCCAATCTGTTTAGTGTTTGGGTTCAACCTTGGGGTGGTTCCTTTCACAGAGCTGCTGTCTGCTAGCAACCCAGTGGTCTGATTATTTATAAGCTTTCATTGTCATGATCTCATTTTTCTGCATCTCTTCCCCCACCCCAATGAAATTACATTCACAGCAACCTCTAATTTTACCATGACAACCGGTGAGCTCGGTTAATGTTCTACCAGCATGGATAAGACAGTCAGAAGTTTAGAACTGGCTTATTGGGAAACACCCTTCCCTGTTCCCACTGCTGATTTTTTTTCTTTTGTCGTATTACTGCATTTAAACTGACCCCCACCCCAAATTCTTAACCATGACATAAATGTAAGTAAATCATTAGGCAGTGTGTCACCGATTTACCCAGCCCCGGTCATTTACACAGGCAGTCCCCCAATAAGCATGTGTGGATGAGCACAGCAATACTCATTTCTTAATCTATGCTGCCTTGAAAGTAATAAGATAACAGCTATGAATCAAATGCTGAACTATTTTGGGATAACCTATGGAAAACTCAGGCAAGGTTAGTTGGTCATTATTATGTCGCTGTTCAATAGCAGCTTTCTCTTGAACATGGTTCAGTTCTGGTATTACAACCCAAAAGGGTGATAAGTACCTGATTGGATGGACTGTAGGGTAACAGCATCAGACAGGCAGGGGGGAGGTTCGTAATCACCCTTGTCCCTCCCAACCATTTTGCCCCTTTATATCACATTGCATGTTCTACACATGCATGAGTCCGTCCCCGTCAGGTGCCATTTGGAAGTACTTTTTTCAAAGGTTAATGCCCCTACTGCAAAGCCTCAGGGGACATTTCCTGACTCTTTGGAAAACAAATTAGCAGATGTATTTGGAGAGGCAACATGGTTGATTTGTAAGCAACTTATTAAACACAAGCAGTGCACATAGGCAGATCAGCACACACACACACCAACCCGAGTCCAGATTACAGTTGCCAGCTCCAGGTTAAGAAATGCTTGCAGATTTGGGGTGGGGTGGGGTTTGGGAGGGGCTTCAATGGGGTATAATGCCATAGAATCCACCTTCTGAAGCAGACATTTCCTCCAGGCAAACTGATCTCTGTTGCCAGGAGACCAGTTCTAATAGCAGGAGATCTCCAGCCACTGCCTGGGGATTGACAGTCTTAGTCCAGATACTTGATCTGTTGCTACAGTCTGCTTCTACTACACACTTAAGAGTCCAAGTTTGGCTATTATTTCAAATCAGTGTTATATCCCCCCTTCAAAGTCTCTGGCTTTTTCACCACATGGAGCCAGAAGTGTGATTGCTCCCACTCTGCTCCTGGTAATGTCTGCAACTCCTGACCGGATGGTAAGCTAACCAACCTGTGGGCACTGCCACCTTGATTCAATGCTATGCCCTGTGTAGGTGGGCAGGAGGGGCAGACAAGTCGTATGCTTTATTTGTGGCAATGAGAGGTATCAGTCAGCTCCAGATGAAGCTGATCTATAAGACCGGCAGCCCACCCGTCTATGTACAGAATGCATTGTTTCATTTCATTGTGGTCCAGTCCATGAATTTTTTACTTCTGTCTCTGGTGCTAGCAAGCAAAATTTTTATACTTGGTTGCTTTTGCCAGAATTCAGAATGCTGATGAATCTGAACTATAACATAGCTCTGAGTTATGAAGACATTTGGCTTGATTTATAACCTCTAGCAAAGAAAATCCCCCATCTTGAGTTTATTTAGCTCTATTAAAACCAGTGCAACAAAGCACATCCTGTTATTCCTGTTGATTTGTGGATCACGCTGACTGTAAAGTAATCTGATTTTTGTTATAAGTCTTAGCGATATTTCCTGGCTTATCCACCATAAATAGGTTTGCGAGGAAGTAAGCCCCAGTGATTTCCACAGAAAGTACTTTCAAGCCAATGAACATAATCCAGTAAAGGTTATTTATGTCTATGCTCATTATAATTAATACAATGGGGCTTAATCATGACTATTTCACCATTGATTTCAACAGTAGCCTGTCCTGACTTACACAGACTGCATTGCATCCAGTGAATTTAGGGCCACTTCCACAAGGATCTTGTTTCCTAAAATGGAGCATTTCCTCCTCAGAGCATCCACACAACTTCATCGTGCATGCCATTCATCTTCCAGGTATCCCCTGCTTTGCTGCAACCTGTTCCAAATATGCTCTGGTACAATCTGTTCCAGAATGAAGGCTTGCCTACCACACAGTTGCTATATTGGTATAACACTATAGCAATATAGCTACTATGCATTTTTGTTAAAAGCTTTCAAAAAGCTTTCCTGCAGCACAGGAAGGGGAGGTTGTGGGGATGAGGGGATACTGAAGAAAAAGTGGAGGATACCACTCTGTGGATGCTCAGTTGCTACTGCCAAGGCTTCTACATTTGCAGCATCCTTTCTTCATTCTGCAGAAACACTACCTTGTCAAAATGCAGGAAAACCCATGTGGAAAAATTCCTTTCATGACAATTTTATTCTTTAGCAAGTGAGAATTGCAAAGACACATAGCCAGAGGCCATCTTGGAGACTAGAAGATTGATTTTGATTAGTGGGGAAGTGAAATGGTAACATTTTACTGCAAAAATTGAGATTTGGGTTTCTCTACATCACTCTGAGTAACGAACACCTTCCATTCTGCTGACAATGATGTGTTCTTCCATTCTTTTTGAAATTTTGACTATGCAAAGCTAAGGGGTGCCCTTTTACCCAGCATCTAATACCAGTTCACAAAGCTAAAACAAGGCAATGCCTACTTTTCATATTTTAGATATGCGTTAGTTAATTGGGTTTAGCTGGAATGAGTTTTGCATGTGGTACTGACAGTTTGCAACCTTAGTCCATTTGATTTGCAGTAAGACGTCTTCATTGCAATCTATATATCTAATTCTCAACTCCCTCTGCGTGTAGATATGTATTTCAGCAGATAGGTGGCATGCTCTCCCCCAACAAGTTTTTCTACAGATTGAGGAGACTCCATGGGTCTACAGAAAAATTCAAAAAGTTTTTAAAAACTCAGGGACGGTTGAATCCCCCCCCCCCCAATACCTTTTGAAATGCATGCCGCAGGAATCTACTCCAGGCTCTGCCACATCGACAGGGCGAGACAGACTGAGATAGCCAGAGGGAGGGGGCAGGAAGCAAAAGCAGGACTGGAGCTTGGATTGGGAAGGATTCCTCCTTCAGTATGAATGGCTAAATAGCAGGGGGGTTGGAGCCAGGTTTGGGACTAGGATTGCCCACTTCAGGTTGGGAAATTCCTGGAGATTCTGTGGTGGAGTCTGAGGAGTGCAGAGTTTGGGGAGGGGAGAGGCCTAAGCTGGATATAATGCCAAAGAGTCCAATCATGTTCTCCAGGAGGACAGATCTCTGTTGTCTGGAGTTCAGTTGTAATTCTGGGGGAGGTCTCCAGGTCCCACATGGAGACTGACAAACCTAGGCCTAGCAGCATCCTCTGGGTGACTGGATACTACCTGACTTGCATGATTCAACTAGGCCTGGCTGCTTTGCTACTGTTCAATGTTCTATGAAAGTCAGTGTAGTATAATGGTCAGAGCTTCAGAGTAGGGTTTGTGAGACCCAGGTTTAGATCCCCATCTTGCTGTGGAAGCTCACTGGGGGATTTTGGACCAGTCACATACTTTCAGCCTAACCTACCTCATAGGGTTGTTATGTGGATAAAAAGGAAGAGAGAATAATGTAAACTGCTTTAATCCCCACTGTGGAGAAAGACCATAGTTTTACTCATTAGAATCTGCAAAGCAAAAGGAGATGGAAAGCTGAAGACAGAGGGGTAAATAAAGGTAGGTCGGCTGTTGGGTGGAAATGAGATAGGGATGCCAACTCCAGGTTGGGAAATTCCTGGATATTTGAGGGGTGGAGCCTGGGGATGGTGGGGATTTTTTTTTTTTTTTTTTTTTTTAATAACTTTTTATTGATTTTTATACAAGAAAAACTTACATATAACCTCAGTGAACAAATCCAACTAACAACAAACAATTAATAAAAAGGTGCAACAATATGAACATATAAACTACATCGTGTGATCAGGTCTTCTCTTAATAGAATGAAAAGTCTATATACTTCTCTGGTAGTGCAAAAAGAGAATTCTTGTTCCTTGTGGTATAATCGAAGAAAGAGAACCATCTTGATACAAATCTATTAGGGCGGGATGGCACGTTGGTCGACAGTAGTTGTTCTGCAATCTTATCTGATACTATATAATCCCAACATTTTGTAATCCATTGATTAATAGTAGGGATTTTAGGTTGATTCCAAAGTTGGGCTAGTAACGATTTTGCTGCTGATAAAAGAATGGATGTAAGTTCTTGTCTCTCCTTAGATGCTGTATAATTCGCGTAGTTTCCCAAAAGGATGGTGTCTGGCGAAAAAGGTAAGTCATGTCCTGTAATTTCCTGTAATACACCTTTAACTTTAAACCAATAGCTATTAACCAGTGGGCAATCCCACCAACAATGTAAAAAAGTTCCCTTTTCCCCACATCCCTTCCAACACAACGGAGAGGACTTATATTTACAATGGTATAATCTTTCAGGGGTTAAGTACCACCGGGAGTATATTTTGTAGGATTGCGTCCGCATAGCTAAAT